TTTCTCTTTCTGACTTACTTCACTCTGTATGACAGACTCTAGGTTCACTACAAATAACTCAATTTCGTTTCTTTTTATGGCTGAGTAATATTCCGTTGTATATATGTGCCACATCTTCTTTATCCATTCATCTGTCAATGGACACTTAGTTGCTTCCATGTCCTGGCTATTGTAAATAGAGCTGTAATGAACATTGTTGTACATGACTCTTTTTGAATTATGGTTTTCTCAGGGTATATGCCCAGGAATGGGATTGCTGGGTCATATGGTAGTTCTATTTTCATTTTTTTAAGGAACTTCCATACTGTTCTCCATAGTGGCTGTATCAATTTACATTCCCACCAACAATGCAAGAGGGTTCTCTTTTCTTCACACCCTCTCCAGCATTTATTATTTGTAGATTTTTTTGATGATGGTGGCCATTCTGACTAGTGTGAGGTGATACCTCATTGTAGTTTTGATTTGCATTTCTCTATTGATTAGTGATATTGAGCATCCTTTCATATGTTTGTTGGCAATCTGTATTTGAAGATGACATGATACTATACATAGAGAAGCCTAAAGATGCTACCAGAAAACTACTACAGCTAATCAATGAATTTGGTAAAGTAGCAGGATACAAAATCAATGCACAGAAATCTCTTGCATTCCTATACACTAATGATGAAAAATCTGAAAGAGAAATTAAGGAAACACTCCCATTTACCATTGCAACAAAAAGAATAAAATACCTAGGAATAAACCTACCTAAGGAGACAAAAGACCTGTATGCAGAAAACTGTAAGACACTGATGAAAGAAATTAAAGATGATACAAACAGATGGAGAGATATACCATGTTCTTGGATTGGAAGAATCAACACGGTGAAAATGACTATACTACCCAAAGCAATCTACAGATTCAGTTCAATCCCTATCAAACTACCACTGGCATTTTTCACAGAACTAGAACAAAAAATTTCACAATTTGTATGGAAACACAAAGACCCCAAATAGCCAAAGCAATCTAGAGAAAGAAAAATGGAGCTGGAGGAATCTGGCTCCCAGACTTAAGACTATACTACAAAGCTACAGTAATCAAGACAGTATGGTACTGGCACAAAATCAGAAAGAAAGATTAATGGAACAGGATAGAAAGCCCAGAGATAAACCCATGCACATATGGTCACCTTATTTTTGATAAAGGAGGCAAGAATATACAATGGGGAAAAGACAGCCTCTTCAATAAGTGGTGCTGGGAAAACTGGACAGATACATGTAAAAGAATGAAATTAGAGCACTCCCTAACCCCATACACAAAAATAAGCTCAAAATGGATTAAGGACCTAAATGTAAGGCCAGAGACTATAAAACTCTTAGAGGAAAACATAGGCAGAACAGTCTTTGACATACATCACATCAAGATCCTTTCTGACACATCTCCCAGAGAAATGGAAATTTAAACAAATGGGACCTAATGAAACTTAAGAGCTTTCGCACAGCAAAGGAAACCATAAACAAGATGAAAAGGCAACCCTCAGAATTGGAGAAAATATTTGCAAATGAAGCAACTGACAAAGGATTAATCTCCAAAATTTACAAGCAGCTCATGCAGCTCAGTATCAAAGCAAACAATCCAATCCATAAGTGGACAGAAGACCTAAATAGACATTTCTCCAGAGAATTTCCTTTTAAGCATAAAAAGTGGACCATGAATTCCTTTAAAAACTATCGTGTGTAAAGAGAAAAGCTATTAGCCTGTTTAGCAAATTAAGCAGAATTTATAAAATATTCTCATTGTAGCTTATATGCCATTAGATTAAAAAATCTTTCTATGGAAAAATAATATACATAGAAATGTTTAGAATCACAGGTATACAGTTCAATAATTTATCCCCAGCTGTACATACCAGTGTAAACCAACATTCAGGTCAAGAATAAACATTATCATTACCTCAGATGCCCCCTGGTGTTCTTCATCTCTATCCCTTTCCTCCTCCTCAAAAATAACTCTTTTTTTTTTTGCGGTACATGGACCTCTCACTGTTGTGGCCTCTCCCGTTGCAAAGCACAGGCTCCGGATGCACAGGCTCAGTGGCCATGGCTCACGGGCCCAGCCGCTCCGCAGCATGTGGGACCTTCCCAGACCGGGGCACAAACCTGTGTCCCCTGCATCGGCAGGCAGCCTCCCAACCACTGCGCCATCAAGGAAGCCCCTCAAAAATAACTCATTTTTGACTCTTAAAACCATAAATTAGTTCTTCCTTTTGAAGTTATATAAATAAAAAAGTAGTATATATATTTTTCTGTCCAGCATTTTCCTCTCAATATTATTTTTGTGAGATTCATCCATGTCATTGTGTATAACTGTAATGTCTTCATTTTTCATTTATCTCTTTACATATAAATATACATATATATATGAACTACAGTTTATCCATTCTTCTTACAATGGACATTTAGATTATTTTCTGTTTTCGGCTATTTCAAAATATATTGCTGTGCATATTATGTACATGTTTGTGTGCACATGTACATGCTTTTTTCTGGGATATACAGTATATTAAGAGTAAAAATCTAGGTCATAAAGTGTGGGTATGTTCAAATTTAGTATATACTGTCAATTGTTTCCCAAATTGGTTGAACCAGTTTATATTCCCACTACTAGTGTACGAGAGTTTCTGCTATTTGTTGTCAATTTGGTATGTGTGCAATGGTATTTCTTTGAGCTATTAATTTGTATTTCCTTGATTACTGATGAGTTGTATATATTCTCACATCTTTATTATCTTAGTCTAAAACAGATTTAATTTATGCACCAAAACTAGTTATAATTAGTAAATTGTAGGTAAGTTTTTAACTTTGACCTTTAGCACCCTAGATAAGTGCAAACTGTTCCTTGCTACAGTATGGTGTAGGGCAATCATCACCCCTCAGAATGTTAACCCAGTTTTTTCGAGTTTCTTAGGTCTTCTCAGTGATGTGATTATAAAAAAAGTGGTTCAAAATTTTAGGTTAAAAATTACATTTTAATTAGGGCTCACAAATTAGTCAAGAAATAAGCTATTTTAGTCAAATCTATTTACAATTATGAGACAATGTAGTCCCTTTGCTAATCAGTAAATTGTTTTCTGATTTCTTACATTCCCTCATTCCCAAATTCTATTTACTCAACCGGTCCCATGGGAATCACCTGGGCCTCGTTTATGATCTATAAATTGGAATCCAGGGGTGGTGGTGGATGAAAGGGAAAGACACTGGAATTTTTATTTGCAAATAAGTTACCTACATGATTCTGATGAATTATCCACTGTGGAAAAACCTCATAATATGAAGATCTTGGACAGATACATCAGCTGACTTCTATGTCCCATCAGAAAAATGAACCAGGACCAAAGAATGAAATTTAAAGCAATTAGAGACAATCTTAAAAGAGCTCTCTGTCAATAAGTGGTATGTAGCAACCTGATGAAGCAAAATTTTTCTTTAGAGATTTCTGCATAGGAGATGGTACTAGATGATTATGTAGGCTGCTGCTAATGCATTCTTCATAAATAAAAACAGAAGCTGTGCTGTGTAAACTCTACCTGCCAAGCCTAGAACAACTACAGATAGACATCATAATGGACAGATACTAACACTGACTTAACTTTTAGATCTCCACGTCTCTCACCTTTCGAAAGTGCTGCTTTCCTTACATACAGCCAAGACCCTTAGTAATAAGCTTCAGCATGGAATTGCAACGAGGGCACTTGGCGTAAAGCAACAGCAAGCAGAAGAATGCTTGAAATAAATTTCCATAAATATGAAGCAAGCCTGTCAGTAAATTTAATTTCTGTCTGATTTAATAAACAGCTAGATAGATACACAAACATGAAAATTATAAATTATGTTTTAATTTTTCTCCCTACCATAACTGTCTTATCACAGGTTAAAGTTTATAAGTTGTGATTTTTATCTCAGCTAATCTCATTTAACATTGCTTCATGGTTAGATAGCTAAAATGAAATTGCAGCTCCAAACACAAAGTCTGGGATCAATTTGACCAGTTCTTCTGCTTACGGTTATTTGTACTATAAATTTCAATATTTTGAATATGGTAAATTTGAATACATTGATATGTCAACAGACATATAAACTTGTTTTTCAAAAGACAGGCAGAATATCTAATTGCAAAGTCAATGTGGTTCTTATATTATTAAATGGTCTTTGTTTTATTATTGACGTTCAAGAGGTATAGAAATATTCGAGTAAGACTTCCTTGGTGGTTGAGAAAATTGTCTGTAGCGCTCAGTAGGAAACATCTTCCAAAGTAAAGGGCTCAGCTACAGGGAGGTTTTCCCTCTGACTGTTGGGGAGGTTAGGTTCTCACCTAGGAGGGGGCAATAGTCTAGACTTCTGTTATCACTTTCTACCCATGATGGATCAGTTAGTCTTCCAGTTTACCTTTCTATTAGGGTTCCATGAGAGGCACAACTCCTGTCTGCTTACCTGCCCAGGTGTTTGGAAATACTGGGCCTGTTCTGGCTCATAGAGGGAGGCTTCTTTCCACCACACCAAAAGCTAGTGAAGAGGTAGGATTCCCCTACTCACCACTCACTACCCTGTTCTCTGGATGAAAGGAGTTGCAAAGAGGGACAAAGATAAATGACATCTAAAGAAATCTTGAGCATTTCTGTTCATTTCAGAATAACATTAATAGTGCTCATTAGAAGGAAAACTGAGGAAACTTGTGAACTTTAAAACTCAGAACCAAAAGAGTTTGTCACTTAGTATTATATCAGTATAACCCATCTCCTCTTAGAAAGATGAAATGATGCCTAACTCGGGCAAAAAGAGGAACCAATGGCATTATTAAAGAATTCTGGTTACATCCAGTTACACGCTGCTTTTTGTAAATTAATCTACCTCTTCTCTGACCATTTTAAAATATTAAGTGAAAGGTAACATTTATTGTGACTCAAGAAATATATCTTGAAATATTTCAAGAAATTTCATTTCTATGTTGTGCATTCTTTCTAGATGTATGTCATCACTACTGTGTGAATTCTGAATCCTGTACCATTGGGGATGACGGAAGTGTGGAATGTGTCTGTCCAACACGCTACGAAGGACCAAAATGCGAGGTTGACAAATGTATAAGGTGCCATGGGGGACATTGCATTATAAATAAAGACAGTGAAGATATATCTTGCAAGTAAGTAGACAGCTAGCTTACTTTATAAAAACATTTGAACCCAAAAGGACATAGCAATCCAGAAATAAACAGTGAAAACAATGTAAATTATTTTTATTCTAAAATTCAGTATGGCAACCATTCCATTTTCTCTCTCTCTCTTTTTTTCTTTTTTGGCTAGAGATAGAGTTCAATTCATTTTGATTAAACCAAAACTTATTAAAAACCTATTATGTACATCTGGGTAATATGAACATTTATCATGTAATGACATGGTCAGGTCATTGCCTATATAGAATATTCCTAATAGTAAGCAAGTAAAAGTGAAATGCAACATACCTTCAGAAAGCTATGTGTAATACTTCTAAATTAGAATAGCTCAGGCTTTTACTTGTTTCATCATTATTATCAACAATGAGTGTTTGCCTTTCTGATTTTACAAAATGATCCTTTGGGAAAGAAGCAAAAGACCTATCTAATGGAAATAAAATTTAATCTTTTTATCTGACTTTGAAAATTATTGTACAAAATAAGTAGAAGGAATAATGTTTCCTAGGAAGAAACTACAACAAAAATGTCCAAGTTAGATTTTGATTACATTGCCTTTTGCTCTTTGGCTTTGAGATCAAGTGAATGGAAAACAGAACTTTGCAGGTAAAGAGTAATGCCAACATGCTAGTAATGTTTCTAGCATGAAACAAATTTATGCCACTGGGGTTAGAGATCAATTCTCACTCTGAAGTTCTTTTAACAGGCTTTTCAAAAAAAGGGCTTATAAAGGACTGGACTCTATCACTTGCCCTAGGAGTATAATAAGCGAGCATATGTGATAGGAAAGCACGCCTTAAAGGGTTCACGTCACAGCTTCCACCAAGACAGCTCTGCAAGGGTGCCAGCCCTCAGTTATGTTGCTCTGCCAAACAAGGCCCCATAAAATTTTATTACAGACACCATCAACATTTTTTTCTTTTTTATTTACTCTCATTTTAGAATTACTCCATGTATGATTTGTGTTATCACTATAAATGACATTTACTCAAACCCTCAAATTGTGTCCTTTGAAAGTATATTATTTTTTAACTAAATTAATTTAAAATATGACTAGTTATAATATATGCCTTTGATAAGTACATAAAAGCAAAATGCATTTTCATATAAACTACCAAAATCATGTTTGCTCATTAAGCTCATCGGTTTTTTGTGATGAAACTTTAGCATGACAGAACTTGATTTTAATTACTGAGCATACATCTTTCTTTATGTCCAGTGTACCATGTCAGGAATGCACTGTAGAATCTTCTTCACAGCCCCATCCCAGTCACACAGGGAATCATGGACCATCATATAAGAAAGGCTATGAGCCATAGTTTGCAACCCAGTTTATCTTGGAGAAGCTCATGTAGAGACACACACCCTGTTTCCATCACACAGGGCAGTTCCACGTGAGGAATGAAGGGCTGAACTCTTAGGACCCTCGATTCCTGCTTCTTTACATAGAATACTGGCTTCACCAACATAGAAACACTAGAACCTCATAGCCTGAGTAGGCTTTTGAAGGTCCAACATTATAGTTCTTGACTCTTAAAAGATCTTTCTGGAAAACTATATGTAAGAATGGATAAATAATAGTTGCTAGCAGTGAGTTGATAATGGAAGTTTAAAGATAAGAGTATAATATTTGATTTATCAGATAGGCTATAATAACATATGAACATGATAGTACAAACAGGACTGTTTGGGTATTTTGAAACTTTTAGATAAGTTTGTTTTCATTTCTATGATACTTTTCATCTTAGCATTAACTAAAGCTTGCAGTGATATTGGGATTTCTATTTCATGGGTAAAGAACTGATACTAAAACAAAATCACAACTGAGTTAAATATTTTTTTACTGAAATGGGAAAATTCAAGCTGCATGTATACTTGCGATTCCAAAGAGTCATGTATTTCTAATGCACAGCGTATGAGCTGTCAACTACAGTAAAGAATAGATGCTCTGTCAATTATACTGAGTATAATCTTTGAAACAGAGCTAATTGTATATTTTTCTCTCTTCCTCAGTAAATATTGTTGAAGAAAGTCTTTATCATAATTTTGAATAGCCTAAATAATACCACTGTGATGTCAAATTGTTATGAGAATTCTTTCTCTTTACTGGACAACTGCTAATTACAAAGTGTGTCTGCATGCACACATATGTAACATTTCTAAGAAATGAAATTATGATGAAAACCTACATTAAAATATAAGTTGTACTCATATATTACAATGATTTGGATAACTTGTATTTCACATTTGAAATATCTACAAAGTTCTGTCTAAAGTTTAGGATTCAGATAAAACCTTTAGAAGGAGAACAGGGCAACATCTCTTATAACTCTTGGAAGCAGAAGTTTAAAAGCAATCGATAATTAGAATATTTTTCTCTTTTAAAAGATGATATTTGGTGTATAGTTATCTTTTTGTGGAAAATTCTTTAATGTATGATGAGCTAATTTTTTTCTTTGATGTTGTCTCTTTGATTGAACATGAAACTATAACTTTCTGCTCTTCAATTTTCAAGGAGGCTGGGCGAGGAAAGCAAGGAAAAGTCTCCCAGATCCATTTAACATATCAGACACCACTACCATTAAATATGTACTTGACTCACTTTGCATCCATATTCGTATGGCTCTATAGATTATAAAGAATGTGATATTCTTTGTTAAATCTTGGAAACTTTAAACCACTACCATCTTCCCCATATTTAGTTCCACTTTCACGTGTCTCCATTTCATATCTGGTACATAATTGACTCACTGCTTCTGTTTATCTTGAAAAGAAATGTGATTTTTAAATCCAGGTTCTTAAAAAAAATCTTTAAATTAAACTTCTGGGAAAGTGTAAGCAGTTCAGTGCATTTCCAGCAGCCCTACCACCCACAAGAGGCCAAATAAATATGCACAGAATAAATAAACTATGGGATTGCTAACCAATTATTTCAAATATCTAACCAATCATTGGGAATTACTCTTTGATGGATGTACTGCAATAGGTACCCACCATGAAGAGGATCAAAGTGATCAATCAATGACATTGCAGCCTGATTTCTTTATCAAGGTTATGTCCAGATTTATTGTGATACCATTGATTACTTCATAGCACTTAGTACTAACATGATCTCATAATCGGAATATTGACATGATCTGTTGTAATTCTGATCTGGGCCAAGGCTTGTATGATTCTATTACCATACTTCTCACAGAAGAGTTTCCCTCAATAATTTGGAATGTCAATGTACTTTTCTCTGTTCCACCAACAATTGTCAATGTCTGATCTAATAGTATTTATTTATTCATTTATTTATTTAAAAATATAACATGGCAAGTAAGAAATTTCTGTAATTTTCCTCTTATCATTATGCTTGTTTTTCCCATGTAGCAATAGCCACAGTGCTTATTCTTATCCCAGACAGGTAATGTACTATAAATTAGAAGCATTTCCAAAAATTTTCCAAGAAAGCCTACCTCATTACTTTGTTGCCATATTGCATATTGTTCCTATAATATTACTGTTTATTTTTGCAATGAAGTGTTATGTTTTTTCCTTTAGAATAAAAAGAGTTTGACACTAATTATAGTACATATTCAGGGAGAAACAGTGGGGTAAAAGTGACTACAGAATAGTTCTATGCTTTCGTACAAAATGTGGAGTCTAAAACTCATAACAGTTCTTTGGACCAGACTTTCCAGTTTAGAAGGAATAGCTGAGCATTTGCTTCCAGAGTATTTGATAATGTGGTTTATAAATAATAAAGATGCCACCAAACTCTGGTAATATGAAAAGGGAATAAAATACTGATGTTAATGTCTCCCTGAAGTGTAAGTGATAAACACTAGAGTATATTTTTTCACACCTATGTCTAGCTATATTAAATTTTTATATTAAACGAATGGATTGAAATTTTGAAAATTACCAAAAGAAAAATTTTATTTGTCATCATTCTATTAAAAAACATCTTTGCCTCCAGCAAGTCTCTCTTTCTGAAAACCTACTTTTAGCCAGCCACTGCATTAGTCTTCTGTGATGAATATTCTCATCTTTAGAGAATTTGTGTCAGCTCTCAACAATAATCACACCAGAAACAATGAGATTTTTTTTTTCTTTGTTGCTGCAGCTGCACTAATGGAAAGATTGCCTCTAGCTGCCAGCTATGTGACGGCTACTGTTACAATGGTGGCACGTGCCAGCTGGACCCAGAGACAAATGTACCTGTGTGTCTGTGAGTATTTTATAACGTTGTGGGCATTTTATGATAACAACTTTAGATGTACATGGAATCCCTGCTCTATTTTTCTCCTTTCTTGGCGTAACATATTTTAAATGAATGTTTCGTGGACATCTCTGATCAAGTATTGTTCCTCATTGGCTCATGTACTACAGAATCTCCTCCCTCATCAATTTGCTAGTGATTTCATATGGAAAAGCTTATTCACTTCTTAGCATCATACCCATTTCAAACATTCAGAGACCTTTGAACTTGGAAATGCCAGTAAAAATTGTTCTAATTTAATTGACCTTATTTACAATAGATACGTGAAACCCAGACATAATCATATTTATAAATACTTTGGTACTTAGGGCCATTATTTTCAAAGTATGTAAGGTATCTTTTCAAAAGTATAATACTATTTGATTTTTGTATCAGGTTTTGAGTGTTGTATTATGTAAACCTATTAAGCCCTTGTCTCTTTTGAAATACATTACCTTGAATCTGGGTTTCTAAATGTTTGGAAAGTATTGTAGATTCTCTGCTCCTGAGAAAATCTGGAATTTAATATATTCCCTTTTCAAATACCTGATTGGCCATAATGGAAAGCTTGAAATAAGACCATTCAGCCTATGTGATCTCTATTTTGAGTTTTCTTTTATCACTGCTTGACCAGAAGAATGATGCCCACATCTGATCCACATCTGCATTCTGTTCCCCACCTTGTCAGAATAGCCTATGATGAGTGTATATAAGAAATAAGTGAGCATACCTGAGAAAAATTTTGTTCATATGTTACTATTTCTGTATGAAATGAATTTGAAAAATTTGAAAAAAAAAGTCAGATGCTTTATTTAGCTGTATTTTACTGAAATTCTGCAGATGCTCTGTTGGGTTTAAAAGTCAGCGCTGTGACCAGAAAGAGAACCCTTGTGATCACTACTGTCAGAATGAGGGGATTTGCACTTTAACTGCGTTTAATGAGCCGAGATGCAAGTAGGTTTAACCTTCCACTTACCGCTAAGCTTTGTGTGACATCATTTCAGGCCAGAGTTCATTGGTTTAAATCATGAACATCCACATGCTTTTCACAGCGTATACTTAATCTCGGGGCTCATCTGTGTCATACACACTTAACCTTTGCTTTGCTCGCCGACAAGTGTATGCACCACAGTTAGCTAGATTGTCTAGAAATATAATGGAGGGAATGAAAAAGCTCGTGGAACTGTCTCATAAAAATACATTTGCTAGAACAGTGGCTTTTAATTAGAGGACAGAAGCAGGTGTTTTTAGACTTTATTACTATACTGGATACTATAATTGGAATAGTGTCTTTTATTTAGTTAACTGACTTTTCATTTCAAGTACTGATAAAACACATTATTTTGGCTCCCAAGATTTCAGTGGACTGTCTTACCTTAATCAGTAAGACTTCTTTACAGAAGAAATAGGTATATGCTAAAATATTCCAGAAACTTCATTTCAAAACATTCTCTCTTGATTCAATTTGTTCATAACAAATACATTCTTTTCCTCTGTGAAATCTCAGGGACCACCTTTGGGGTAGCTATCAACCTTCATAACAATGGAAGTTATTTTTGCATGTTGCATTTGAGCTTTAGAGATGGATCATATCTGACATCCTCCTTAATACTCCATGTCATAAACAGAAACCCTGATTGGCACCCAATAATAGCTCATGGTGGTGTCTCAGAGGATTTAGTAATGGTTTTAACGCACAATTATATTAAAATTCAGATATTTCATTTCCAAAACTCTACAATTTCTTCATAATGATCTATTTTGTTATTCAAAAAAATGTTATTCTTTACACAATAATTGTGAAAATATGGGAAGTGATTAAAATAATCACATAGGAGAAACTGATATTCTTTCTTTTTTTCTAAAAGATATTTGAATATGTTAAACCAATGTGCCTACATAAAATAATCCAGAAATACTCCTTTAAATATCAGTCTGTAAAGGGTATATAAACTGACCTGTTAAGAAATTGATACACTTCTTAGTTCATACTCAGGTTTAGTGCCTTATGCAGCTGAAGACAGAGAGGGGACCCTTCTTTAGTCTTACCTCTGCCTTGCCTCCAACCTAAATTCCTCCAGTCATTCAGCAAGTATTTATAAGACCCTGAAAGAGTGCTAAGTCCTAGACAAGTGAAGATGAATGAAATTTAACCCAAACATCAAGGAGCTCACGAATTAGTGGGTTTAGAAATTCATAAGCAACTAATTAACCTGTATTAACGCAGGTGTGAACACAGGAAAAAAGAGAGGGCAGTGGAGTTTTAACAGGGCAGGTGATTTGTTTAGAATGGGAGATAGGAATACATGGAAGACTTTACAGAAAAGGCAACCTCGTGTTGTCCATGTAGTTCAGATAGTTCAGTGAGGTCGGGAAGAACATTCTGAAAAGAAAGAATAACATAAGCAGAGACATGGATGTGAGACTTAGTGACCTCTCTGGGGAACTGTGAGTGGTTTAATACAGCTAGAATGAAGGGTGACTGGAGAATTGGGGAGGGGGGTGAGGAGTTAAAACTGGGAAGATAAATTGGAACCCGATTTATGCAAGTTAGGGGATTCCATAGGATCCTGAAAAGAATGTATAGCCAAAGTGATTTGAGGCAGAGCTGAAGGAGTTTGCTTTCGAAGGTGACACTGAGTGGCATGTGGAAGAAAGGCCTGGAGATCAGCTGCAGGGATCCCACACCAAAAGGTCTGGCAGCACTTCAGGTGAAAAATGATGGATTCACGGTTAGTTCAGTGTTAGTAAGGTCAGGGTGATCCTTGGCCAAACTTTGATCTAGGTACTTATGTTATCTCATTTTTAGGACCCTGGTAATGCCTGCTCTGGGGCCCAGTCTTTGTATTTCTTGTCCCTTTCTCACAATTCCCAGGCAAAGTATACATGACATTTCAGCACCACCCCACTCCATAAATAGGTCTCAGGAACATGACCTGTCTAGAGAATGCCCTGTGTCACCAGAATGAATATTTCTTGTGGGCATAACAGTCCACAGTAATGTTCTGTTCCACTTTTCACTCTTACCATGTATCATCAGAGGCACCTGACCTTGTAAGGTATAATCAGCCTCTGATTAAAATCAGCTAGGAAGGGCTTCCCTGGTGGTGCAGTGGTTGAGAGTCCGCCTGCCGATGCAGGGAACGCGGGTTTGTGCCCCGGTCCGGGAGGATCCCATGTGCTGCGGAGCGGCTGGGCCCGTGAGCCGTGGCCGCTGGGCCTGTGCGTCCGGAGCCTGTGCTCCGCGACGGGAGTGGCCACAGCAGTGAGAGGCCCGCGTACCGCAAAAAAAAAAAAAAAAAAATCAGCCAGGAAAAATGTGTTAATCGGAAAGGTTCAGAGCAAGCACCTTTTACTTTTGTGTATCTTTATTTCTATCTGCTTTGGGCTTAATGGAAATTTTGTCTGTGCTTTGGTTTTCTACACCCTAAAATTTATTCTGATGGTAGGAGTAATGCTTACTGAATTCCTCAAATCATTTAAGCCATGAAAGAATCGTAGAAGAGATAATGATATTCTGTTATTCACTCATTAATTCATTCATCAAATATGTATTTATAACCTATGATGAGTGAGGCCCTATGTATATTCAGAAGGAGAATTAATAACAGCTAAAACTGATTTAGCAAATACCTGTTTGATTCTAAAGTCCTTGCCCTGGTTATAACTCTTATTCCATACTGCTTTCTTTGTGCTGACTAACTCCAATAAGGTTTTTACTTTTAAAGAGTTTAAGATTCATTTTGGGTAGATGAATGGATTTTAAAAAGTTAAAATACCATTTGATAATTGCTATACAGAAATATGACCAAAGTGTTGTGGGAAAACAACTGAATAGAGATCAGTTAATGATTACTAGTGGGAGAGAGAAAGGTTTTACAGATGAAGTGATATTTTAACAGTATTTTGAAAAAATTTTAGTTATTTTACAGGAGGAAATGTCTGAAAACCTTTCTTGAAAGAGGAATAGCACAGTGAGAGAATAGGTCTGAAAGTAGAAGATGAACGTTGTTGAGAATAGAACACAGGCTATGTGATATAATGGGGGATGGGTTGGGGGAGATTAAAGATATATGTTGGGACCAGTTTGTGAGGTACAGTTTATGAATGACTCAAGAGTGGGTTTATAGAAAGAAGATTGGAGAATTAAGGATGGAATTCTAGGAGACACCAATGTTTAATACTGTATTATGGAAGAATCAACAAAAAAATGAGAAGAAATAGAATTTGGAGGGGACTTGTCAAAGTGAAGGTTCCTCCAAGTCAAAGGAATAGAGCGTGTCCAAGAATATCAACTCCAGATAGTTCAAAGAGGATAAGAATTCTAAGTGGTTTATTGAATTTTGTAATTAGATGGCCATTATGAGAGATGTTTTGAAAGTGCTACATGACAGCAACCAGATTATAGTTGGAAAAGTGAAAGGTAAGAAAGTAGAGAAGACTGTAGATTCCTTTCTGACTGTTTGGCTGTGGATTAAATGAAGGAAGAACAATTGTAACTTCAAGGGGAAGTGGGATCTAAGGGAAAATATTTTTACAATAAGAAAGACATACGTTTCAAGAGGATCAGTCTTTCACTATTTATTAAGGGCCCATTGTTAAGTAACTATGAAGGATAGATGGTTCAGACATAGATATTATACTCATGTTTCTTAGAGTTAAAATTTCTAGAATATGGAAAATTTCCTAGTTTTACATAGGATACTTATAATTCATTTGGTACTAAAATGTAAATAAATAAAAATAAATTTAGTATGAAGTGCCTATGGTCATGTAGAATACAAAAGTTGTCCAGCTAAGAGAATATTAAGCCCTCAGGATCTCTTTCTAGTGGTTGATTCTCCTTGTAAGTGGAAAATTTTGGAAACACAGATTTTAGCTTCAGATTTCAATTTGTAGTGGTCATGTATCTTTGATGAAAAGCTAGTATGCACTATTTCATCTAAGCGCCTTTACAGGAAACAAAAATT